TGGGAGAACGGAACCGCTCAAATCTCGCACAATACACAGAATCTAGTGGTCTCACTCAAATATAAGGTAGGACATAAATTCATCTAGTGAACGTAAGGGTTTGAAAGGTAACTAACGCACATGTGTAGAGAAAATGGTGCATCGGCCAGTCTGGCCGGGATTTCGCACTCATAGTGCAAGTAGGGCCAAGGAGAACGGAAACGCTCATTTCTCAAAAAGTAGAGGGAATCTAGCAGTCTCACTCGATCAGAAGGTGGGAAATATATAAATCTAGTGAGCTAATAAGGTTCGAAAGGAATCTAATGCATATGTATATGGAAAGTGGTGCATTGGCCAGGTCGATCAGTATGGGAACTTGGAGTGCAAATGCCTCGGAGAACGGAACCGCTCAGATCTCGCATAATACAGGGAATCTAGTGGTCTCACTCCAAGATAAGGTAGGAAATTTATTCATCTAGTGAACGTAAGGGTTTGAAAGGTAACTAACGTACATGTGTAGACAAAATGGTGCATCGGCCAGTCTGGCCGGCATTTCGCACTCATAGTGCAGGTGGGGCCAGGGAGAACGGAAACGCTCGCTTCTCAAAAAGTAGAGGGAATCTAACGGTCTCACTCGATCAGAAGGTAGGAAATATATAAATCTAGTCAGCTAAAAAGGTTTGAAATGTATTCAACGCACATGTATAGAGAAAATGGTGCATTGGCCAGGTCGGTCAGTATCGGAACTTAAAATGCAGATGCCAGGGAGAACGGAAGCGCTCAGATCTCGCATAGTACACGGAATCAAGGGGTCTCACTCAAATAGAAAGTAGGAAATATATTTTTCTAGTGAACGTAAGGGTTTGAAAGGTAACTAACGCACATGTGTAGAGAAAATTGTGCATCGGCCAGTCTGGCCGGCATTTCGCACTTATAGTGCAAGTAGGGCCAAGGAGAACGGAAACGCTCATTTCTCAAAAAGTAGAGGGAATCTAGCGGCCTCACTCGATCAGAAGGTGGGAAATATATTTATCTAGTGAGCTAATAAGGTTCGAAAGGAATCTAATGCATATGTATATGGAAAATGGTGCATAGGCCAGGTCGGTCAGTATGGGAACTTAGAGTGCAAATGCCAGGGAGAACGGAAGCGCTCAGATCTCGCTTAGTACACGAAATCTAGTGGTCTCACTCAAATAGAAGGTAGGAAATATATTCATCTAGTAAACGTAAGGGTTTGAAAGGTAACTCAAGCACATGTGTAGAGAAAATGGTGCATCGGCCAGTCTAGCCGGCATTTCGCACTTGTAGTGCAAGTAGGGCCAAGGAGAACGGAAACGCTCATTTCTCGAAAAGAAGAGGGAATCTAGCGGTCTCACTGGATCACAAGGTGGGAAATATATAAATCTAGTGAGCTAATAAGGTTCGAAAGGAATCTAATGCATATGTATATGGAAAATGGTACATTGGCCAGGTCGGTCAGTATGGGAACTTAGAGTGCAAATGCCAGGGAGAACAGAAGCGCTCAGATCTCGCATAGTACACGAAATCTAGTGGTCTCACTCAAATAGAAGGTAGGAAATAAATTCATCTAGTGAACGTAAGGGTTTGAAAGGTAACTAACGCACATGTGTAAAGAAAATGGTGCATCGGCCAGTTTGGCCGGTATTTCGCACTTATAGTCCAACTAGGGCCAAGGAGAACGGAACCGCTCATTTCTCAAAAAGTAAAGGGAATCTAGCGGTCTCACTCGATCAGAAGGTGGGAAATATATAAATATAGTGAGCTAATAAGGTTTGGAAGGAATCTAATGCATATGTATATGGAAAGTGGGGCATTGGCCAGGCCGGTAAGTATGGGAACTTAGAGTGCAAATGCCTGGGAGAACGGAACCGCTCAGATCTCGCATAGTACACGGAATCTAGTGGTCTCACTCAAATAGAAGGTAGGAAATAAATTTATCTAGTGAACGTAAGGGTTTGAAAGGTAACTAACGCACATGTGTAGAGAAAATGGTGCATCGGCCAGTCTGGCCGGCATTTCGCACTTTTAGTGCAACTAGGGCCAAGGAGTACGGAAACGCTCATTTCTCAAAAAGTAGAGGGAATCTAGCGGCCTCACTCGATCAGAAGGTGGGAAATATATTTATCTAGTGAGCTAATAAGGTTCGAAAGGAATCTAATGCATATGTATATGGAAAATGGTGCATAGGCCAGGTCGGTCAGTATGGGAACTTAGAGTGCAAATGCCAGGGAGAACGGAAGCGCTCAGATCTCGCTTAGTACACGAAATCTAGTGGTCTCACTCAAATAGAAGGTAGGAAATATATTCATCTAGTAAACGTAAGGGTTTGAAAGGTAACTAACGCACATGTGTAGAGAAAATGGTGCATCGGCCAGTCTAGCCGGCATTTCGCACTTGTAGTGCAAGTAGGGCCAAGGAGAACGGAAACGCTCATTTCTCGAAAAGAAGAGGGAATCTAGCGGTCTCACTGGATCACAAGGTGGGAAATATATAAATCTAGTAAGCTTATAAGGTTCGAAAGGAATCTAATGCATATGTATATGGAAAATGGTACATTGGCCAGGTCGGTCAGTATGGGAACTTAGAGTGCAAATGCCAGGGAGAACAGAAGCGCTCAGATCTCGCATAGTACACGGAATCTAGTGGTCTCACTCAAATAGAAGGTAGGAAATAAATTCATCTAGTGAACGTAAGGGTTTGAAAGGTAACTAACGCACATGTGTAAAGAAAATGGTGCATCGGCCAGTTTGGCCGGTATTTCGCACTTATAGTCCAACTAGGGCCAAGGAGAACGGAACCGCTCATTTCTCAAAAAGTAAAGGGAATCTAGCGGTCTCACTCGATCAGAAGGTGGGAAATATATAAATCTAGTGAGCTAATAAGGTTTGGAAGGAATCTAATGCATATGTATATGGAAAGTGGGGCATTGGCCAGGCCGGTAAGTATGGGAACTTAGAGTGCAAATGCCTGGGAGAACGGAACCGCTCAGATCTCGCATAGTACACGGAATCTAGTGGTCTCACTCAAATAGAAGGTAGGAAATAAATTTATCTAGTGAACGTAAGGGTTTGAAAGGTAACTAACGCACATGTGTAGAGAAAATGGTGCATCGGCCAGTCTGGCCGGCATTTCGCACTTTTAGTGCAACTAGGGCCAAGGAGTACGGAAACGCTCATTTCTCAAAAAGTAGAGGGAATCCAGCGGTCTCACTCGATCAGAAGGTGGGAAATATATAATTATAGTGAGCTTATAAGGTTCGAAAGGAATCTAATGCATATGTATATGGAAAATGGTGCATTGACCAGGTCGGTCAGTATGGGAACTTAGAGTGCAAATGCCAGGGAGAACGGAAGCGCTCAGATCTCGCATAGTACACGGAATCTAGTGGTCTCACTCAAATAGAATGTAGGAAATAAATTCATCGAGTGAACGTAAGGGTTTGAAAGGTAACTAACGCACATGGGTAGAGAAAATGGTGCATCGGCCAGTCTGGCCGGCATTTCGCACTTTTAGTGCAACTAGGGCCAAGGAGAACGGAAACGCTCATTTCTCAAAAAGTAAAGGGAATCTAGCGGTCTCACTCGATCAGAAGGTGGGAAATATATAAATCTAGTGAGCTAATAATGTTCGGAAGGAATCTAATGCATATGTATATGGAAAGTGGTGCATTGGCCAGGTCGGTCAGTATGGGAACTTAGAGTGCAAAGCATCGGAGAACGAAAGCGCTCAGATCTCGCATAGTACACGGAATCTAGTGGTCTCACTCAAATAGAAGGTAGGAAATAAATTCATCTAGTGAACGTAAGGGTTTGAAAGGTAACTAACGCACATGTGCAGAGAAAATGGAGCATCGGCCAGTCTCGCCGGCATTTCGCACTTATAGTGCAAGTAGGGCCAAGGAGAACGGAAACGCTCATTTCTCAAAAAGTAGAGGGAATCTAGCAGTCTCACTCAAACAGAAGGTGGGAAATATATAAATCTAGTGAGCTAATAAGGTTCGAAAGGAATCTAATACATATGTATATGGAAAATGGCGCTCAAATCTCGCATAATACACGGAATCTAGTGGTCTCACTCAAATATAAGGTAGGGAATATATTCATCTAGTGAACGTAAGGGTTTGAAAGGTAACTAACGCACATGTGTAGAGAAAATGATGCATTGGCCAGTCTGGCCGGCATTTCGCACTCATAGTGCAGGTGGGGCCAGGGAGAACGGAAACGCTCATTTCTCAAAAAGTAGAGGGAATCTAACGGTCTCACTCGATGAGAAGGTGGGAAATATATAAATCTAGTCAGCTAAAAAGGTTTGAAATGTATTCATCGCACATGTATAGAGAAAATGGTGCATTGGCCACGTCGGTCAGTATCGGAACTTAAAATGCAAATGCCAGGGAGAACGGAAGCGCTCAGATCTCGCATAGTACACGGAATCAAGTGGTCTCACTCAAATAGAAAGTAGGAAATCTATTCATCTAGTGAACGTAAGGGTTTGAAAGGTAACTAACGCACATCTGTAGAGAAAATTGTGCATCGGCCAGTCTGGCCGGCATTTCGCACTTATAGTGCAACTAGGGCCAAGGAGAACGGAAACGCTCATTTCTCAAAAAGTAGAGGGAATATAGCGGTCTCACTCGATCAGAAGGTGGGAAATATAAAAATCTAGTGAGCTAATAAGGTTCCAAAGGAATCTAATACATATGTATATGGAAAATGGTGCATTGGCCAGGTCGGTCAGTATGGGAACTTAGAGTGCAAATGACAAGGACGTGGACGTGGACGTGGACGTGGACATGGACATGGACATGGACGTGGACATGGACGTGGACGTGGACATGGACGTGGATGTGGACATGGACGTGGACGTGTCCATGTCCATTTCCACGTCCACGTCCACGTCTATGTCCACGTCCACGTTCACTTCCACGTCCATGTCCATGTCCATTTCCACGTCCACGTCCATGTCCACGTCCACGTCCATGTCCAAGTCCATGTCCCTGTCTACGTCCACGTCCACGTCCATGTCCACGTCCACGTCCTCGTCCACGTCCAGGTCCTTGCCATGTCTACGTCCACGTCCACGTCCACGTCCATGTCCACGTCCACGTCCATGTCCAAGACCACGTCCACGTCCACGACCACGTCCACGTCCACGTCCACGTCTAAGTCCATGTCCACGTCCACGTCCACGTCCACGTCCACATCCACGACCATGTCTTCGTCCACGTCCACGTCCACGTCCATGTCCACGTCCATGTCCACGTCCAAGTTCTCCACGTCCACGTCCACTTCCACGTCGACGTCCACGTCCATCTCCACGTCCACGTCCATGTCCACGTCCACGTCGATGTCCACGTCCACGTCCACGTCCACGTCAACGTCCATCTCCACGTCCAAGTCCTCCACGTCCACGTCCACGTCCATCTCCACGCCCACGTCCACGTCCATGTCCACGCCCATGTCCACATCCATGTCCACGTCCATGTCCACGTCCATGTCCATGTCCACGTCCATGTCCACGTCCATGTCCACGTCCATGTCCACGTCCACGTCCATGTCCACGTCCACGTCCATGTCCACGTCCGTCCACGTCCATGTCCACGTCCATGTCCACGTCCACGTCCATGTCCACGTCCATGTTCACGTCCACGTCTTGTTGACGTCCACGTCCATTTCCACGTCCACGTCCACGTCCACGTCCACGACCATGTCCACGTCCACGTCCATGTCCACGTCCACGTCCATGTCCACGTCCACGTCCACGTCCACGTCTATGTCCACGTCCACGTCCGCGTCCACATCCATATCCATGTCCATGTCCACGTCCACGTCCACGTCCACATCCATGTCCACGTCCACGTCCACGTCTATGTCCACGTCCACGTCCATGTCCACCTCCACGTCCACGTCCATGTCCACGTCCAAGTCCTCCACGTCCACGTCCACGTCCACGTTCACGTTCACGTCCATGTCCACGTCCAAGTTCTCCACGTCCACGTCCACGTCCACGTCCTCCACGTCCACGTCCACGTCCACGTCCACGTCTACGTCCACGTCCATGTCCACGGCCACGTCCACGTCCACGTCCATCTCCACGTCCACGTCCACGTCCACGTCCACGTCCACGTCCACGTCCACGTCCACGTCCATGTCCACGTCCACGTCCACGTCCACTCCACGTCCACGTCCACGTCCACGTCCACGTCCACGTCCACGTCCACGTCCACTTCCACGTCCATGTCCACGTCGACGTCGACGTCCACGTCCACGTCCACGTCCATGTCCACGTCCACGTCCACGTCCACGTCCACGTCACGTCCACGTCCACGTCCATGTCCACGTCAACGTCCACTCCACGTCCACGTCCATGTCCACGTCCAAGTCCTCCACGTCCACGTTCACGTCCATGTCCACGTCCAAGTTCTCCACGTCCACGTCCACGTCCACGTCCTCCACGTCCACGTCCACGTCCACGTCCACGTCCATGTCCACATCCACGTCCACGTCCACGTCCACGTCTACGTCCACGTCCACCTCCACGTCCACGTCCAGGTCCATGTCCACGTCCACGTCCACGTCCACGTCCACGTCCACGTCCAGGTCCATGTCCACGTCCACGTCTACGTCCACGTCCATGTCCACGTCCACGTCCACGTCCAAGTCCACGTCCACGTCTACGTCCACGTCCACCTCCACGTCCACGTCCACGTCCACGTCCACGTACACGTCCACGTCCACGTCCACGTCCACGTCCACGTCCACGTCCACGTCCACGTCCACGTCCACCTCCACGTCAACGTCCACGTCCACGTCCACGTCCACGTCCACGTCCTCGTCCACTCCACGTCCATCGTCCATGTCCACGTCTACGTCCACGTCCACGTCCACGTCCATCTCCACGTCCACGTCCACGTCCACGTCCCAGTCCACGTCCACGTCCACGTCCACTCCACGTCCACGTCCACGTCCCAGTCCACGTCCACGTCCACGTCCACGTCCACGTCCATGTCCACGTCCACGTCCACGTCCACGTCTACGTCTACGTCCACGTCCACGTCCAGGTCCAGGTCCACGTCCACGTCCACGTCCACGTCCATGTCCACGACCAGGTCCACGTCCACGTCCACGTCCACGTCCACGTCCATGTCCACGTCCATGTCCACGTCCACGTCCTCGTCCACGTCCTCGTCCACGTCCAGGTCCACGTCCATGTCTACGTCCACGTCCACGTCCACGTCCATGTCCTTGCCACGTCCATGTCCAAGACCACGTCCACGTCCACGACCACGTCCACGTCCACGTCCACGTCCACGTCTAAGTCCATGTCCACGTCCACGTCCACGTCCACGTCCACATCCACGACCATGTCTTCATCCACGTCCACGTCCACGTCCATGTCCACGTCCATGTCCACGTCCACGTCCACGTCCACTTCCACGTCCACGTCCACGTCAACGTCCATCTCCACGTCCAAGTTCTCCACGTCCACGTCCACTTCCACGTCGACGTCCACGTACATGTCCACGTCCATGTCCACGTCCACGTCCACGTCCATGTCCACGTCTATGTCCATGTCCACGTCCACGTCCACGTCCACGTCAACGTCCATCTCCACGTCCAAGTCCTCCACGTCCACGTCCACGTCCATGTCCACGTCCACGTCCACGTCCACGCCCACGTCCACGTCCACGTCCATGTCCACGTCCATGTCCACGTCCACGTACATGTCCACGTCCATGTCCACGTCCATGTCCACGTCCACGTCCACGTCCACGTCCACGTCCATGTCCACGTCCACGTCCACGTCCACGTCCATGTCCACGTCCACGTCCACGTCCACGTCCATGTCCACGTCCACGTCCACGTCTACGTCCACGTCCACGTCCACGTCCACGTCCACATCCACGTCCACGTCCACGTCCACGTCCATGTCCATGTCCACGTCCACGTCCACGTCCACGTCCACTCCACGTCCATGTCCACGTCCATGTCTACGTCCACGTCCACGTCCACGTCCATCTCCACGTCCACGTCCACGTCCACGTCCACGTCCACGTCCACGTCCATGTCCACGTCCACGTCCACGTCCACGTCCACGTCCACGTCCACTCCACGTCCACGTCCACGTCCACGTCCACGTCCACGTCCACGTCCATGTCCACGTCCACGTCCACGTCCATGTCCACGTCCACGTCCACGTCCACGTCCACGTCCAGGTCCAGGTCCACGTCCACGTCCATGTCCACGTCCATGTCCACGACCAGGTCCACGTCCAGGTCCACGTCCACGTCCACGTCCATGTCCACGTCCACGTCCACGTCCATGTCCACGTCCATGTCCACGTCCACGTCCTCGTCCACGTCCAGGTCCACGTCCATGTCTACGTCCACGACAACGTCCACGTCCATGTCCACGTCCACGTCCATGTCCAAGACCACGTCCACGTCCACGACCACGTCCACGTCCACGTCCACGTCTAAGTCCATGTCCACGTCCACGTCCACGTCCACGTCCACGTCCACATCCACGACCATGTCTTCGTCCACGTCCACGTCCACGTCCATGTCCACGTCCATGTCCACGTCCAAGTTCTCCACGTCCACGTCCCCTTCCACGTCGACGTCCACGTACATGTCCACGTCCATGTCCACGTCCACGTCCACGTCCATGTCCACGTCCACATCCATGTCCACGTCCACGTCCACGTCGACGTCAACGTCCATCTCCACGTCCAAGTCCTCCACGTCCACGTCCACGTCCATCTCCACGTCCACGTCCACGTCCACGTCCACGCCGACGTCTACGTCCACGTCCATGTCCACGTCCATGTCCACGTCCATGTCCACGTCCATGTCCACGTCCATGTCCATGTCCACGTCCATGTCCACGTCCATGTCCGCGTCCATGTCCACGTCCACGTCTATGTCCACGTCCACGTCCACGTCCATGTCCACGTCCATGTCCACGTCCATGTCCACGTCCACGTCCATGTCCCTCTATGTTCACGTCCACGTCTTGTTCACGTCCACGTCCATGTCCACGTCCACGTCCATGTCCACGTCCATGTCCACGTCCACGTCCACGTCCACGTCCATGTCCACGTCCACGTCCACGTCCATGTCCACGTCCACGTCCATGTCCACGTCCACGTCCATGTCCACGTCCAAGTCCTCCACGTCCACGTCCACGTCCACATCCACGTTCACGTCCATGTCCACGTCCAAGTTCTCCACGTCCACGTCCACGTCCACGTCGTCCACGTCCACGTCCACGTCCATGTCCACGGCCACACGTCCACGTCCACGTCCATCTCCACATCCACGGCCACGTCCACGTCCACGTCCACGTCCAGGTCCACGTCCACGTCCACTCCACGTCCACGTCCACGTCCACGTCCACGTCCACGTCCACGTCCATGTCCACCTCCACGTCCACGTCCATGTCCACCTCCACGTCCACCTCCACCTCCACGTCCACCTCCACGTCCACGTCCACGTCCACGTCCAGTCCACGTCCACGTCCACGTCCACGTCCACGTCCATTCCACGTCCACGTCCACCTCCACGTCCATGTCCACGTCCACGTCCACGTCTATGTCCACGTCCACGTCCACCTCGACGTCCACCTCCACGTCCAAGTCCACGTCTACGTCCACGTCCACGTCCACGTCCACGTCCACGTCCACCTCCACGTCCACCTCCACGTCCACGTCCACGTCCACCTCCACGTCCATGTCCACGTCCACGTCCACGTCCACGTTATGTCCACGTCCACGTCCACGTCCATGTCCACGTCCACGTCCACGTCCACGTCCACGTCCACGTCCACGTTATGTCCACGTCCACGTCCACGTCCACGTTCACGTCCACGTTCACGTTCACGTCCACGTCCATGTCCACGTCCATGTCCACGTCCACGTCCACGTCCACGTCCACGTCCGTGTCCACCTCCACGACCACGTCCACCTCCACGTCCACCTCCACGTCCACCTCCACGTCCACCTCCACGTCCACCTCCACGTCGACGTCCACGTCCACCTCCACGTTCATGTCCACGTCCACGTCCACGTCCACGTCCATGTTATGTCCACGTCCACGTCCACGTCCACGTCCACGTCCACGTTATGTCCATGTCCACGTCCACGTCCACGTTCACGTCCACGTCCACGTTCACGTCCACGTCCATGTCCACGTCCACGTCCACGTCCACGTCCACGTCCACCTCCACGTCCACGTCCGTGTCCACCTCCACGACCACGTCCACCTCCACGTCCACCTCCACGTCCACGTCCACCTCCACGTCCACCTCCACGTCCAAGTCCTCCACGTCCATGTCCACGTCCACGTCCAAGTCCTCCACGTCCACGTCCACGTCCACGTCCACGTCCACGTACACGTCCACGTCCTTGTCCACGTCCACGTCCACGTACACGTCCACGTCCTTGTCCACGTCCACGTCCACGTCCACGACCACGTCTACGTCCACGACCATGAATACGTCCATGTCCATGTCCACGTCCATATCCACGTCCACGTCCATGTCCACGTCCATGTCCACGTCCATGTCCACGTCCACGTCCATGTCCACGTCAACGTCCACGTCCACGTCCACGTCCACGTCCATGTCCACGTCCACGTCCACGTCCACGTCCATGTCCACGTCCACGTCCACGTCCATGTTCCTCCACGTCCACGTCCACGACCAGGTCCACGTCCATGTCCACGTCCACGTCCACGTCTACGTCCATGTCTACGTCCACGTTCACGTCCACGACCATGTCTCCGTCCACGTCCACGTCCACGTCCACGTCCACGACCACGTCCACGTCCACGTCCACGTCCACGTCTACGTCCATGTCCACGTCCACGTCCACGTCCATGTCCACGTCCACGTCCATGTCCACGTCCATATCGACGTCAACGTCCATGTCCACGTCCACGTCCATATCCACGTCCATGTCCATATCCATGTCCACGTCCACGTCCACGACCACGTCCATGTCATTTGCACTCTAAGTTCCCATACTGACCGACCTGGCCAATGCACCATTTTCCATATACATATGCATTAGATTCCTTTCGAACCTTATTAGCTCACTAGATTTATATGTTTCCCACCTTTTGATCGAGTGAGACCGCTAGAAATGAGCGTTTCCGTTCTCCTTGGCCCTAGTTGCACTATAAGTGCGAAATGCCGGCCGGACTGGCCGATGCACAATTTTCTCTACACATGTGCGTTAGTTACCTTTCAAACCCTTACGTTCACTAGATGAATATATTTTCTCCTTTCTATTTGAGTGAGACCACTTGATTCCGTGTACTATGCGAGATCTGAGCGCTTCCGTTCTCCCTGGCATTTGCATTTTAAGTTCCGATACTGACCGACCTGGCCAATGCACCATTTTCTCTATACCTGTGCGTTGAATACATTTCAAACCTTTTTAGCTGACTAGATTTATATATTTCCCACCTTCTGATTGAGTGAGTCCGTTAGATTCCCTCTACTTTTTGAGGAACGAGCATTTTCGTTCTCCCTGGCCCCACCTGAACTATAAGTGCGAAATGCTGGCCCGATTGGCTGATGCACCATTTTCTCTACACATGTGCGTTAGTTACATTTCAACCCCTTACGTTCACTAGATGAATTTATTCCCTACCTTCTATTTGAGTGAGACCACTAGATTCCGTGTACTATGCCAGATCTGAGCGCTTCCGTTCTCCCTGGCATTTGCACTCTAAGTTCCCATACTGACCGACCTGGCCAATGCACCATTTTCCATATACATATGCATTAGATTCCTTTCAAACCTTATTAGCTCACTAGATTTATATATTTCCCACCTTCTGATTGAGTGAGATCGCTAGATTCCCTTTACTTTCTGAGAAATGAGCGTTTCCGTTCTCCTTGGCCCTACTTGCACTATAAGTGCGAAATGCCGGCCAGACTGGCCGATGCACAATTTTCTCTACACATGTGCGTTAGTTACCTTTCAAACCCTTACGTTCACTAGATGAATATATTTCCTATTTTCTATTTGAGTGAGACCACTTGATTCCGTGTACTATGCGAGATCTGAGCGCTTCCGTTCTCCCTGGCATTTGCATTTTAAGTTCCGATACTGACCGACCTGGCCAATGCACCATTTTTTCTATACATGTGCGTTGAATACATTTCAAACCTTTTTAGCTGACTAGATTTATATATTTCCCACCTTCTGATCGAGTGAGACCGTTAGATTCCCTCTACTTTTTGAGAAACGAGCGTTTCCGTTCTACCTGGCCCAACTGTCAAACATTATATATGTTCTGCTTGTGTAGGCTACAGTGGGTTAGCCTATAGGGGGTACACAATTCTAGGGTTTCCTACTTGTACTCATTTCACTGCTAGTTCATTCACTTTTCCTGTTCGCTTATTCTCACATGGTATCGAGCAGGTTCCCCTGTGGGAACTGTTCGTAGGGCCCACCACCGCTACCTCTTAACTTTTTTTCCTGCCCGGAGCGCGCTCCGGGCCCTAGTACTTCTTTTTTTTTCGATCTGCCCTAGTGCTCTGAAGGCCGCCCGCCCTAGCGCCCGAGCGCCGCCGCCCTTGCGCCCTGACGGCCGCCCGCCCTAGTGCCCTGACGGCCGCCCGCTCTAGCGCCCGAACGCCGCCCGCCCTAGCGCCCTGACGGCCGCCCGCCCTAGCGCCCTGACGGCCGCCCGCCCTAGCGCCCGAGCGCCGCCCGCCCTAGCGCCCGAGCGCCGCCCGCCCTAGCGCCCGTGCGCCGCTCGCCCTAGCGCCCTGACGGCCGCCCGCCCTAGCGCCCTGACGGCCGCCCGCCCTAGCGCCCGAGCGCCGCCCGCCCTAGCGCCCGAGCGCCGCCCGCCCTAGCGCCCGTGCGCCGCTCGCCCTAGCGCCCTGACGGCTGCCGCCCTAGCGCCCTGTCGGCCGCCCGCCCTAGCACCCGAGCGCCGCCCGCCCTAGCGCCCCAGCGCAGCCCGCCCTTGCGCCCTGACGGCCGCCCGCCCTGACGCCTGAGCGCCGCCCGCCCTAGCGCCCTGACGGCCGCCCGCCCTGACGCCTGAGCGCCGCCCGCCCTAGCGCTCTGACGACCGCCCGCCCTGACGCCTGAGCGCCGCCCGTCGTCGCCCCAGCGCCCTAGCGCCCGACGCCCGCGAGCCGCCCGTCGCAGCCGCCCATGAGCTGCCTGTACGCCGCCCGCCGAGCCGCCCGTGCACCCGCCCAGCGTGAGCCGCCCACGACCGCCCAGGCTGCCGTCCCCTTCTACCGGCCCCGCAACTGCACCTGCTGGCCCCGCCGCTGCACCTACCGGCCCCCACCACCCACCCCCCCTTTTCCCGTCGCCTAGACCTGAGGCCAGCAGAGGGGTGGCAGGTGTGTGGCCTCCCCTGCTTCTCCTCCTCCTTCATCGCTCACCTGCAGCAGCCGAGCCGCCCCACCGCCGAGCCGCCCTGCACCCGAGCCGCCCAGCAGCCGAGCCGCCCTGCCGCCGAGCCGCCGGGTCGCTGAGCTGCTGAGCTGCAGTTGCTGCCGAGCCGCCCTGCCGCCGAGCCGCCGAGTCACCGAGCTGCTGAGCTGCAGTTGCTGCCGAGCCGCCTTGCCGCCGAGCCGCCCGAGTCGCCCGAGCCGCCGAGCCGCCAAGCTGCCGAGCCGCTGAATCGCCGAGCCTACTCTTCCCACCACTGGTGAGCTCTTGCCCTGCTAGCACGCTGCGCGTCGCCTGCTTGCCTGCCTGCCTGCCTTTTGGCTTGCCTGGCTGCCTGCCTTCCTGCTGCTAGTCCTGCTCCTGCTTCTACTTGCGGAGCCAGATGCAGCCCCAGCGACGCCTGCGTGAGTCCCTCACGCCCCAGCAGCTGCGTGAGTGGTACGCTGGTTGGGGCTGTAGGGGTGGCGACGCTACTCCTACTTCCACTCCTGCTGCTTCTACTCGTGGTGGCGGCCAGATGCAGCTCCCGCGACCCTCTCGCGTGTCTCTCACGCCTCGCCAGCTTCGTGAGTGGTACGCTCAGAGTGGAGGGTCTCTCAGTGCTGTTCGCTGCTCTTACGTGATTCGCACTGGTACTCGGACTGGTCAGCCTTGTGGGACACGTAGTCATACACAGTCTCGCTGCTTCGCCCGTCTGAGCGACGCCTGGCGTACCGTGTTTGGCGACGAGGCTGAGCTTCCCGACTGGGTGGAGTTGCTTAGGCAGAGGGTAGATATATATGCTCTTGACTATGATGCTATTCTCACTGCCATGTATGTATTGCCTACTAGTGCTGACCGTGCCGGTCATCTGTGCGTCCCGCCTGACCCAGGTATAGGACCTGCTGCTCTAGCTACTGGTGAGGCTGCTGCTCTGGGTGCTAGTGAGTCTCCTGCTCCAGGTACAGGTGCGGCTGCTGCTCTAGGTGCTAGTGAGTCTGCTTCCTCAGGTGCGGGTGAGGCTGCGCTCTCAGGTACCGCGTTGGCTTCGGCCTCCCTCACCTTTACACTTGACTCTAGGGCTTCTCGCTCCTTCTTTCGGGACCGCACCACACTCACGCCGCTTGGTCGGCCGGTTGCTGTCTCCCTGGCTGACCCCTCTGGGGGTTCTGTCCTCGCTCACTTCTCCACTGTCCTCCCGTGTCCGGCTGCCCCCTCGGGCACCCTGTCTGGCCTGTACCTCCCCTCGTTCTCGACGAACTTGGTGAGTGGTGCAGACCTGCAGGATGCGGGGGTTCACCAGTTCACTCCTGCGAGTCAGCGGGTGACCCACTGCACGGACGCACGCACAGGCCGGCACCTGGCCACGTTCTCGCGTTGGCCGGGGTCGAGCCTCTACACCCTGACCACTGAGTCTCCTCCTGTCCACGCGTCCGGTCAGGTAGCAGCGTCGGGTCAGGTGTTTGCTGCTGCGTCCAGGTCTGGTCCTGAGTCTGCCCCCTGTTCGTGTCGCCTCCTGTCTCACGAGACTCTTCTGTGGCACCACCGTCTAGGCCACCCCTCCTTGCCCCGTCTTCGGGGCATGGCTTCCCGTGTCCTTGTCTCTGGTCTTCCCCAGTCTCTCCCTCCCCTTCCTTCGGGACCAGGACCTTCCTGTGTCCCCTGTATCGAGGGGCGCCTCAGGGCTGCTCCTCACTCCTCCCAGTTTCCCCCGACAGAGGCTCCTCTGCAGACGCTTCACATGGACGTGTGGGGCCCGGCCCCCGTCCGTGGGCAGGGTCACGAGCGCTACTTCCTGTTGGTGGTTGACGACTACTCGCGTTACACCTCAGTCTTCCCCTTGCGCAGCAAGGGTGCTGTCACTGAGGTGCTGATCGACTGGATCCGCGAGGCTCGTCTCCAGCTCAGGAGGAGCTTCGGCTCGGACTTTCCTGTTCTGCGTCTGCACTCTGACCGAGGTGGGGAGTTCTCCTCTCGCCTTCTGCGAGACTACTGTCGTGCACAGGGGATCCGCCAGACCTTTACGCTTCCGGACTCTCCACAGCAAAATGGGATTGCTGAGCGCCGCATTGGCATGGTCATGGATGTCGCTCGTACGTCCATGATGCATGCGGCTGCCCCCCATTTTCTGTGGCCGTTTGCGGTTCGGTACGCGGCGCATCAGCTCAACCTTCACCCCAGGGTCTCTCGGCCCGCGATGTCCCCAGTGTTACTGTGGACGGGGAAGGTCGGCGATGCGTCTGCGTTCCGTGTCTGGGGATCTCGGGCGTTTGTCCGCGACTTGTCTGCGGACAAGCTGTCCCCCCCGTGCTGCTCCCTGTGTCTTCCTTGGCTTCCCCCCTGACGCTCCAGGGTGGCAGTTCTACCACCCCTCCTCTCGTCGTGTTCTGTCCTCCCAGGACGTCACGTTCGACGAGTCAGTCCCCTTCTACCGCCTCTTCCCCTACCGTACTCCTTCCCTCCCCCCCCCACCGGACTTCCTGGTGCCAGTTCCCCCCCCGGTAGACCCCCTCCCCCCTCAGGTTCCTGCCCCTTCAGGTGTGTCCCAGGTAGACACAGTCGAGCCAGTCGAGGTTGCTGCTGAGTCTGGTCCTGCTGCGGGTGCAGAGTCTGGGGGTGCTACGCCTGCGGGTGCTGAGCTTGGGGGTGCTGCTGCTGGGGGTGCTGAGCCTGGGGGTGCGAGGCCGGGGGGTGCTGAGCTTGGGGGTGCTGCTGCTGGGGGTGCTGAGCCGGGGGGTGCTACGTCAGGAGCTGCTGAGCCTTGGGGTGCTGAGCCTGGAGGTGCGGAGCCTGCGACTGCTGGGCGGGAGCCGCTCTCTCCACAGGAGCTGCGCGAGTGGTTTGCTCGCCGCTGGAGGCGTGCTGCTGGAGCTGGAGCTTCTTCGCCTGCTGAGGGTGCTGAGTCTGGAGCTGCTGAGCCTGGAGGTGCTGAGTCTGGAGCTGCTGAGCCTGGGGGTGCTACGTCTGGAGCTGCTGTGCCTGGGGGTGCTGAGTCTGGAGCTGCTGAGCCTGGGGTTTCTCCTGCTGCTGCGTCTCGCCGGGAGCCCCTCTCTCCACAGGAGCTGCGCGAGTGGTTTGCTCGCCGCTGGAGGAGTGCTGCTGGAGCTGGAGCTTCGTCGACCGTCGAGGGTGCTGGTGCTGCCGGTCCCGGAGCTGCTGGGCCTGCGGGTCCTACTGGAGCTGGAGCTGCTGAGGGTGTTGGTGCTGAGACTACTGCTGTCTGTCCTGGCGGTGGTTTTGCTGCTAGTGCTGCTGGAGGTCCTGCCGCTAGAGGTGTTGGTGGCGCTGGTGCTGTCGCTGAGGGTGCTGGTGCTGTCCCTGCTGAGTCTGGAGCTGCCGCGCGGCCTCGGCCGTACTTCGTTCCGCTCCTACAGCAGGTTCTTGGTCTTTCTCCTTCGGTAGAGTGTCCACAGCCTGTCCAGTCGCAGTCACTGTTGGAGCCTTCCTCTCCTCTGCCTGCTCCCTCTCCTTACACTGGTCCTACTGGAGGTCTTGCTGAGCGTCGTGAGCCTGCGTCTCGTCCCGCGTCGCCTGTTCGTGCTGCTCGCGCTAGTGGTCGCGGTTCGCGTCAGCGTCCTCCTCTTGTCCCTGGCACGCACCGGATGTCTCTGCGTCCGTCCACTGCTCCTCTGCGTGCCCCTTTGCCTTCTCCTCCTGAGTCCTCTCTTCCTGCGCTTGCCGACTCTGAGTCGGACTCTCTTCGCGCTGCCAGTCCTACTGTCACGCGTCTGCTTGCTACTGTCGTCACTGACCCCTCTTTTGAGTCCACTGCTGCGTCTGCTCTAGTCGCTGAGCTCGTTGACTTTGCTGCTCGCTGTCGTCTCGACTACGCTGCTAGTCTTGTTGCTGAGTCTGCGTCTGTCTGTCCTCTGTCCGTCGGGGGTGAGTGTGCTCTTGGCACGGACGTCCCAGAGGACAGGCAGGAGGAGTTACAGTGTCTAGCGGCTGCTTCACCTCATCTCGCGTCTGTACTGCTTGCCCCTGAGGGAGACCCGGATGCACTAGACATCCCGACTCCGCGTTCTTACGCGGAGGCCGTAGAGGGTCCCTACTCCTCTCAGTGGCAGGCAGCTATGGATGCAGAGATGGCTTCCTGGAAGTCCACAGGCACCTACGTTGACGCGGTTCCCCCTCCTGGGGCGAACATCGTCAGTGGCATGTGGATCTTCAGGGTGAAGCGGCCGCCGGGCTCTCCACCTGTCTTCAAGGCACGGTACGTTGCTCGTGGCTTCAGTCAGCGGCAGGGAGTTGACTACTTTCAGACCTTCTCTCCCACCCCGAAGATGACTACTCTTCGGGTGCTGCTGCACATAGCCGCTCAGCGCGACTACGAGCTTCACTCTCTCGACTTCAGCACTGCGTTCCTGCAGGGTAGCCTGCACGAGGAGATCTGGCTGCGCCGTCCACCTGGCTTCACTGGGACTTTCCCTCCTGGCACCCAGTGGAGCCTCCGACGGCCAGTCTACGGTCTCCGCCAGGCACCGCGTGAGTGGCACGACACACTGAGGACTACGCTTGCGGCTCTTGGGTTTGCTCCTTCTACTGCTGACCCGTCGCTGTTTCTGCGCACCGACACTTCACTGCCACCGTTCTACATCCTCGTGTACGTCGACGACTTGGTCTTTGCCACAGCGGACACTGCTGGACTCGCCTACGTGAAGTCCGAACTGCTGAAGAGACACACGTGCACAGACCTGGGTGAACTGCGCAGCTACCTTGGCTTGCAGATCACTCGGGACAGAGCTCGCCGCACCATTACCTTGACTCAGTCACACATGGTGCAGCAGGTCCTTCAGCGCTTTGGCTTCACGTACTCCTCGCCTCAGGCCACTCCTCTGCCTACTCGCCACTCACTCTCAGCTCTGCCTTCGGATGAGTCCGTAGAGTCGAGTGGTCCGTATGCAGAGCTTGTTGGCTGCCTCATGTACCTGATGACCTGCACACGACCTGACCTTGCATACCCTCTGAGCATTGTTGCACGCTATGTTGCTCCTGGGAGACACAGACCAGAGCACATGGCTGCAGCGAAGAGGGTATTGCGCTACTTGTGCAGTACGTCGGGCATGGGGCTAGTGCTTGGAGGGCGGAGTCCAGTGGTCCTTACCGGCCACGCGGACGCTTCTTGGGCTGACGACCAGGCTACGCAGCGATCGTCACAGGGTTACACCTTCAGCCTTGGTTCCGGCTCTGTCTCGTGGCGGTCTACTCGCTCGTCTTCGGTTCTCGGCTCCAGTTGTGAGGCTGAGATCTACGCCGGGGCCATGGCTGCACAGGAGCTTCGCTGGCTCACCTACCTGCTGACTGACCTTGGAGAGCCACCTCGTTCTCCTCCAGTGCTGTACGTAGACAACAAGGCCATGCTGGCCTTGTGTCAAGAGCAGCGCTTGGAGCATAGAACGAAGCACATTGCTCTCCGCTACTTCCTTGCTCGTGAGCTGCAGCAGCGTGGTCAGTTGCGACTTGCGTACGTGGCCTCTGAGGCCAACACTGCTGATGTGTTCACCAAGGCACTCGCGCCTTGTGACCATCAGCGCTTTTGCACCCAGCTGGGTCTTGTGCCTGTCTTGCCTCACTTGCTCTCCTCGTGACTTCACTTGTACTGTGACATATATATATACCTGCTCTTGCTTGTCTAGTTTTATATATATGTCTGTACTCCTGCATGTGAACTGGCCTCTGGCCCTGCTCTTGTGCTCGGACTGTGTGGTGACTTTGTGATCCACCCTGAGCTTGCTTTGCTTTGCTTGACTGGTCTTGTGACCCCTTGTTCTCCCCCACTTTGCCTATGGGGGTGTGTCAAACATTATATATGTTCTGCTTGTGTAGGCTACAGTGGGTTAGCCTATAGGGGGTACACAATTCTAGGGTTTCCTACTTGTACTCATTTCACTGCTAGTTCATTCACTTTTCCTGTTCGCTTATTCTCACACCAACCTGCACTATAAGTGCGAAATGCCGGCCAGACTGGCCGATGCACCATTTTCTCTACACATGTGCATTAGTTACCTTTCAACCCTTACGTTTACTAGATGAATATATTTCCTACCTTCTATTTGAGTGAGACCACTAGATTCCGTGTACTATGCGAGATCTGAGCGCTTCCGTTGTCTCAGGCATTTGCACTCTAAGTTCCCATACTGACCGACCTGGCCAATGCACCATTTTCCATATACATATGCATTAGATTCCTTTCGAACCTTATTAGCTCACTAGATTTATATATTTCCCACCTTCAAATCGAGTGAGATCGCTAGACTCCCTTTACTTTTTGAGAAATGAGCGTTTCCGTTCTCCTTGGCCCTACTTGCACTATAAGTGCGAAATGCCGGCCAGACCGGCCGATGCATCATTTTCTCTACTTATGTGCGTTAGTTACCTTTCGATCCCTTACGTTCACTAGATGAATTTATTTCCTACCTTCTATTTGAGTGAGACCACTAGATTCCGTGTACTATGCGAGATCTGAGCGCTTCCGTTGTCTGTGGCATTTGCACTCTAAGTTCCCATACTGACCGACCTGGCCCATGCACCATTTTCCATATACATATGCATTAGATTCCTTTCGAACCTTATTAGCTCACTAGATTTATATATTTCCCACCTTCAAATCGAGTGAGACCGCTAGATTCCCTTTACTTTTTGAGAAATGAGCGTTTCCGTTCTCCTTGGCCCTACTTGCACTATAAGTGCGAAATGCCGGCCAGACTGGCCGATGCATCATTTTCTCTACTTATGTGCGTTAGTTACCTTTCGAACCCTTCACTAGATGAATTAATTTCCTACCTTCTATTTGAGTGAGACCACTAGATTCCGTGTACTATGCGAGATCTGAGCGCTTCCGTTGTCTCTGGCATTTGCACTCTAAGTTCCCATACTGACCGACCTGGCCAAAGCACCATTTTCCATATACATATGCATTAGATTCCTTTCGAACCTTATTAGCTCACTAGATTTATATATTTCCCACCTTCAAATCGAGTGAGACCGCTAGACTCTCTTTACTTTTTGAGAAATGAGCGTTTCCGTTCTCCTTGGCCCTACTTGCACTATAAGTGCGAAATGCCGGCCAGACTGGCCGATGCACCATTTTCTCTACACATGTGCGTTAGTTACCTTTCAAACCCTTACGTTCACTAGATGAATTTATTTCCTACCTTCTATTTGACTGAGAACACTAGATTCTGTGTACTATGCGAGATCTGAGCGCTTCCGTTCTCCCTGGCATTTGCACTCTAAGTTCCCATACTGACCGACCTGGCCAATGCACCATTTTCCATATACATATGCATTAGATTCCTTTCAAACCTTATTAGCTCACTAGATTTATATATTTCCCACCTACTGATCGAGTGAGACCGCTAGATTCCCTTTACTTTTTGAGAAATGAGCGTTTCCGTTCTCCTTGGCCCTACTTTCACTATAAGTGTGCAATGCCGGCCACACTAGCCGATGCACCATTTTCTATACACATGTGCGTTAGTTACCTTTCAAACCCTTACGTTCACTAGATAAATTTATTTCCTACCTTCTATTTGAGTGAGACCACTAGATTCCGTGTACTATGCGAGATCTGAGCGCTTCCTTTCTCCCTGGCATTTGCACTCTAAGTTCCCATACTGACCGACCTGGCCAATGCACCATTTTCCATATACATATGCATTACATTCCTTTCGAACCTTATTAGCTCACTAGATTTATATATTTCCCACCTTCTGATCGAGTGAGACCGCTAGATTCCCTTTACTTTTTGAAAAATGAGCGTTTCCGTTCTCCTTGGCCCTAGTTGCACTATGAGTGCGAAATGCCGGCCAGACTGGCCGATGCACAATTTTCTCTACACATGTGCGTTAGTTCCCTTTCAAACCCTTACGTTCACTAGATGAATATAATTCCTACTTTCTATTTGAGCGAGACCACTTGATTCCGTGTACTATGCGAGATCTGAGCGCTTCCATTCTCCCAGGCATTTGCATCATAAGTTCCGATACTGACCGACCTGGCCAATGCACCATTTTTTCTATACATGTGCATTGAATACATTTCAAACCTTTTTAGCTGACTAGATTTATACATTTCCCACCTTTTGATTGAGTGAGACCGTTAGATTCCCTCTACTTTTTGAGAAACGAGCGTTTCCGTTCTCTCTGGCCCCACCTGCACTATGAATGCGAAATGCCGGCCAGACTGACCGATGCACCATTTTCTCTACACATGTGCGTTACTTACCTTTCAAACCGTTACGTTCACTAGATGAATATATTTCCTACCTTATATTTGAGTGAGACCACTAGATCCCGTGTATTATGCGAGATCTGAGCATTTCCGTTCTCCCAGGCATTTGCACTCTAAGTTCCCATACTGACCGACCTGGCCAATGCACCACTTTCTATATACATATGCATTAGATTCCTTCTGAACCTTATAAGCTCACTAGATTTATATATTTCCCACCTTCTGATCGAGTGAGACTGCTAGATTCCCTTTACTTTTAGAGAAATGAGCGTTTCCGTTCTCCTTGGCCCTACTTGCACTATAAGTGCGAAATGCCGGTCAGACTGGCCGATGCACAATTTTCTCTACACATGTGTGTTAGTTACCTTTCAAACCCTTACGTTCACTAGATGAATTTATTTCCTACCTTCTATTTGAGTGAGACCACTAGATTCCGTGTACGATGCGAGATCTGAGCGCTTCCGTTCTCCCTAGCATTTGCATTTGAAGTTCCGATACTGACCGACCTGGCCAATGCACCATTTTCTCTATTCATGTGCGTTGAATACATTTCAAACCTTTTTAGCTGACTAGATTTATATATTTCCCACCTTTTGATCGAGTGAGAGCGTTAGATTCCCTCTACTTTTTGAGAAACGAGCGTTTCCGTTCTCCCTGGCCCCACCTGCACTATGAGTGCGAAATGCCGGCCAGACTGGCTGATGCACTATTTTCTCTACACATGTGCGTTAGTTACCTTTCAAACCCTTACGTTCACTAGATGAATATATTTCCTATTTTCTTTTTGAGTGAGTCCACTTGATTCCGTGTACTATGCGAGATCTGAGCGCTTCCGTTCTCCCTGGCATTTGCATTTTAAGTTCGGATACTGACCGACCTGGCCAAAGCACCATTTTCTCTATACGTGTGCGTTGAATACATTTCAAACCTTTTTAGCTGACTAGATTTATATATTTCCCACCTTGTAATCGAGTGAGACCGTTAGATTCCCTCTACTTTTTGAGAAACGAGCGTTTCCGTTCTCCCTGGCCCCACGTGCACTATGAGTGCGAAATGCCGGCCAGACTGGCCGATGCACCAAGGGCATAGCGTGTGCAAAATAAAAAGAACAAGGGCCTAGCGTGTGCAAAATAAAAAGAACAAGGGCCTAGCGTGTGCAAAATAAAAAGAACAAGGGCCTAGCGTTTGCAAAATTGCAAGAACAAGGGCCTAGCATGTGCAAAATATAACAACAAGGGCCTAGCGTGTGCAAAATAAAAAGAACAAGGGTCTAGCATGTGCAAAATTGCAAGAACAAGGGCCTAGCGTGTGCAAAATTGCAAGAACAAGGGCCTAGCGTGTGCAAAATTGCAAGAACAAGGGCCTAGCGAGTGCAAAATAGCAAGAGCAAGGGCCTAGCGTGTGCAAAAAATCAAGAACAAGGGCCTAGAGTTCGCGAAATAGCAAGAACAAGGGCCTAGCGTGTGCAAAATAAAAAGAACAAGGGTCTAGTATGTGCAAAATTGCAAGAACAAGGGCATAGCGTGTGGAAAATAGCAAGAACAAGGGCCTAGCATGTGCAAAATATAAGAACAAGGGCCTAGCGTGTGCAAAATAAAAAGAACAAGGGCCTAGCGTGTGCAAAATTGCAAGAACAAGGGCCTAGCGAGTGCAAAATAGCAAAAGCAAGGGCCTAGCGTGTGTAAACAAACAAGAACAAGGGCCTTGTGTTCGCAAAATAGCAAGAAAAATGGCCTAGCGTGTGCAAAATAAAAAGAACAAGGGTCTAGGATGTGCAAAATTGCAAGAACAAGGGCCTAGCATGTGCAAAATAAAAAGAACAAGGGCCTAGCGTGTGCAAAATAGCAAGAACAAGGGCCTAGCGTGTGCAAAATTGCAAGAACAAGGGCCTAGCGTGTGCAAAATTGCAAGAACAAGGGTCTAGCGAGTGCAAAATAGCAAGAGCAAGGGCCTAGCGTGTGCAAAATATCAAGAACAAGGGCCTAGCTTTCGCGAAATAGCAAGAACAAGGGCCTAGCGTGTGCAAAATAAAATGAACAAGGGTCTAGTATGTGCAAAATTGCAAGAACAAGGGCCTAGCGTGTGCAAAATAAAAAGAACAAGGGCATAGCGTGTGCAAAATAGCAAGAACAAGAGCCTAGCATGTGCAAAATATAAGAACAAGGGCCTAGCGTGTGCAAAATAAAAAGAACAAGGGCCTAGCGTGTGCAAAATTGCAAGAACAAGGGCCTAGCGTGTGCAAAATTGCAAGAACAAGGGCCTAGCGAGTGCAAAATAGCAAGAGCAAGGGCCTAGCGTGTGTAAACAAACAAGAACAAGGGCCTTGTGTTCGCGAAATAGCAAGAAAAATGGCATA